AAGACAACGTATCGGTAGTTTTTTAATCCAATACTACAAAGGAGTCTGTGATCAAGAAGCTTGAAAGTAATGAAAGCACATTTAAAATATGATAGCACTAGGAAAGCTGCTAGTCCCTGAACTACGGAGTAATTTTTTGTGCAGCACTTGGATTTTGAGCAGCAACAACACTTAAATGCATACACAAGTCCAATTATCAATAAAACTGCATAAACAACAGATACATATTGGATGCTTATCATATCCAATGTACTTGCTCCATTCCATAGACAAAATGAGAGTTTATCGATATCAAAAAAGTCAAGATTCAATGTGCTGTAGAGTACAGTGTAGACACTACGTGTGACTTCGAAGGATTTAAAGTCAGTTCCTATGTTGACTGATTCCACAACAGTCTGGAGTAACTGTACAATGAATAGAAAATTATATGCCAGTCCTGTTGTTAGGCTAATATCAAAATATAAAATTGTAAAAAATAGACCAGTTATTGGTAATAATTCACTCAAGACATAAAAAGCATATCCGGAGGCGCAATGATGATTTCTCCCACATTTATTAGTGGCTGAGTGAAAATAGACAGAATAGCCTTTCTTACATTGACCACATAATGTTCCAATTCTATTCTCTGCACATACAACTTTTTCAAGCTCATCCTTAGAAGCACTCCCAGTTAAACTATAATGAGATTTATTATAACTACGACAAAAGCCTAATGGACAGTCACTAGTGTAAAGGTTGCTCGGATTTGGTGTAGCTGATTCGTTTGGTAACACATAGCCAGCCCAATATCCTTTAAGAGCCAAGGCTACTTCTTTACTTTCATCACAATGATAAATACCAACATATATAAGTGATTTATCATTATTTGATGCTGAGCACACACAAGTAGAGGAATGATCATCAATTACATAACCAGGTTGACATGATGCTAGTTCTATACCAATACTAGCTCCTTTATTTTGAAAACCAGTTACTTTTAGTGTCAGGTTACCTTTTTCTCCTGGTTTGCCTGTCATTTTAATCTTTTTATTAGACAAAAACTCGAAACCAGTTGATACACTAATATTTCCCTCATTTGGCAAAGTTGGTTGAAAGATAGCAATTTTTGTCACATTCTGGTGTAAGTCATCATAAAGTGTTATTGGCAGTGAATATTTCCTCCCTGGTATAATAGACAGAGGTGTTGATTGACTCACAGTAAATGCTGAACCTCCTGATGCAATTGCTTTGCTATAATTGCAAAACTCAAATACTCCCAAACAACTCTGATTAACAAAAGGCTCATTTGGCTGTGTGCCACATGCTAATTGACATGGCTTAGTACTTGTAGTGTATATCGAATTTGCTATTCCAGTGGAAGACCAATTGTTTTTAAATACAAATCTTGCATTTGTCTCATCATTTTCGTAATTTAGATTATTACGATATTGAAGAAAGCATGAATGAGATGACAGCGAAATGTGTGGTCTGATAGCTAGAACATATATAGCACCACCAACAAAGCTAGCTGAGTTTTTAGTAAATTCAAACTTTGTGTCATTATTGTACTGAATACTAGAGTACCCTACTAGACCAATAGCTCCACCATAAGTACCTGTATTATTCTCAAAAATAGTCACTGCTCCTTTTTCGAAGTACGCTGATCCTGAAAAAATATACAGTGCTGTACCATTGTTGTTATTGAAAGAGTTCTTACCCTTAAAGTGAATTGTTAGTTTAGTAATAACAAATGCTCCAATTCCTTCATTGAAAGTATAAGGATATCTTTGATCATAGTGTTTCATAATGGTATTATTAGCAAAAATGCAATCTTCAAAAATTGCCATAGTTGTAAAAGCAGCATAGTACTGGCTTTCAAAATTTGGTTCAATTTCAATTGCTGTACCAGTATTATTTTCCCATGTGCAGTTAATAAAATGAACATAATTGTAATGTATTGATTGATCAGGACCCATTGCATTACAATAAATCAGGACTCCACTAGCATAATATCCAGTGTTATTAGAAAAAAATGTATGAATAACTGATATGTTATTGTTAGCTGACATGTTACCGGAATAACGAGCAAATCCCATTGCTAAACCAGCTCCACCAAAATCCTCATGGGAAAATACATTGTTAGAAAAATGACAATTTCCAAAATTTATTGTGTTGCTGTGACAGTAATGCATACAATGCCACAACATTCCACCCCCAACAATTGCTTTATTACCAGTAAAGTTAGTCCCTTCTATATTGAAAGCGTTTCGAAGAACATTCCATACTAAAAATATGCCAAGTCCACCACCATAACTAAACAATCGATCTTTCAAATTATCATTTGTGAAGTTAACTGTGTTATTATAAAAGAGTGTGCCCAGTATACTGTAGTTACCTGATGCTGATACATGGGAGCAGTTTTTAGCAGTGATCTCACAAGCTGATATCAGTATCACTAGACCAGCCCCTCCATGTACTGCGTTACCATTTAAGCCATTTTTTTGCAGAGCATATGGTATTGAATTGTTTGAAAAAACTGACTTTTCTATTATAATATTCCCAGCTGCATTGATTAATAATAAACCAGTACCAATGTTGTTACTAATAGACACATTGCTTAATAGCATATTAGTGGTTGTATTTACTATGATACCAGAGCAATAATAATGCCTCTTTGATACACCTATCACATGCTGCATTGAACATCCAGATACATTCAACTCATTGAAGGTCACATCTTGACAGTCGTCAATAATTAGACCACAATTATTGTATGAAGGACAGACACAATTAATAACTGCCGCCTTTTCCTTTTTATTACTGCTAGCAGATGAAGAAGTGAAAGTCAAGTTATGAATTGAGTGTATTTCAATGACATGGTCCAATACAATGCTTCCCTCTATAATGACAACTGTATCATTCTCCCATTGAGTGATATTAGAGAGAGACAAGCAGGGAGAGTGAATAGAACCACATGAAGCTTCACTGGATCCATTGGATGAAATGTATATCTCATTCGAAGCAAATCCTTGAATCAGTAATAATAAGAACATTAGGAGTAGTACACTCTTCATCATTGTTCCTTTAGCCATTCACTTCTAATAATATTTCAAGTTTGTTTCTTGTGATTTAGACTACTTATGCTATGCTATTAAACTGAAACTGAAGCTACTTGATCTGCTCTAAAGATAACATTTTTCTCATATACTGAATCATTAAGATTGCATAGAGAAAACAAAATTATGAAACTGTATGACATCACAAATCAAAGCATCATTTTAACCAATCATAGTAAGATGTACATGTACATAACTTGATGCAAAATACATATCACTACTATGCAATGCATATATGCATGCTGGTATTAAAAATTGGGTCAAAAATTTATGTTTTATAATTGTAGGACACCCTCTACATTTGTACCTGAATGTACATGTACATGTAGCTTACACATAGTAATCTTGAATGCCTAAATATTAAAAAGACTTACAACTCTTGATTGTATAAATGGTTGAGCATCTTTCAAATGTGAAGCAATGTTGAAAACAAGACGACTTTGCTCTTCTACTGTTAGAACTTTCAGCCAAAAATTCTTTACCTAATGAGAAGGAATGAGAGAAAAGAAAAAAGGAATATTATAATCGCTGCACATTATAATCTAAATGAAACTGAAAATAGATGACAAGAGAGTGTACATAACATTTTGTGTGCAACACACACTTGAGAAAAATTGTCATCATCTCTCGTATTATACTTCTTAACATCACAAGTACTCTAGAGAGAGAGGGAGGGGGAAAGAGTGAGAGAGAGAGAGGAGGAAAGGGAGGGAGAGAGTGAGGGAGAGAGGGAAACAAAAAGAAAGAAAAAGATGAAGAAAATATTATTTTGTCATAAGTCACAAAAAAAGTGTATTAATCTGTGTTTATGGCATGTATTACCAAGGTAATAGGAGATATAGTATATTCTGGGTTATCAACAGGACCACTGAAACTGTTTGGAAAATAATTTGGTGCTCCACCTACAACAAACAAACAAGTCACAAGTTATCAATACCAACAAACAGTAGCCTTTACCTTGATTACCATCAACTGTCATTGGTCCATCACGTTGATAGTTCCTGGTGCGTGTTGCATAAGGACAGTTAACTGGTATCTGATGGTAATTTGGACCCAATCTGTGCCTATGAGTATCATCATATGAAAACAAACGACCCTATTGAATAGAGAGAGAGAGAGAAAAGGAAAGTGATGAAAGAAAAGATGAGTGAAATAAAAAAGAGAAATGAACCCAGTGGTACTATAAAAGTTATGAATTATTAAACAAATGAAATATCAACTTTAGGCAAATTTATAATTAGGATTCATGACAATTAAGGAGGAGTTGACATTAGAGGCCACTTAATACATTTCTGCGATACTGCTACATATTTGGTTTAAACTCCATTGGTCTTAACAATTAATTATATGATAAACAAACTAATAAGAAAACAAGTTAAATCAAACTATTATCAAACTAAATGTACCAAAACACACCCTGCTTTTAAATATTTAATCACATAAAAATATCAGATGGATGTTCCTCTTCTCTTCTTCTCCAATACTCTTCATCTTGCTCAATGTTGCGAATAATATGATTTTCTGCAATCATGTGAACATTAATCTCAACCTCTCTTATGCGAAACTTGTATTTTTTAGCAAGATAAATATAAAGAAGGAGGAGAAAGAAGGACAAAAGAGCTCTTGTGAGGCAAAAATAAAAACCACGGCCTAACAGAAATTCAGAGTTCATGTAACGAAGGAATGGCAGAAGCACGACAAAGCTAATGTAGATCCTCAAAATTCTTATGCAAAGCCACAAACCTATTACAGTCCCTCTCATTGATTTAGGACACTGTGCCAAAATGAACTCCACCAGAACAATGCCGTTAATATAAAAAACAACTGCAACAAATATACCATTGAATATAGTCCATATGTGGCCCTTGGTATATGATTGCTCTTCAAAAGAAGTAAGACAATGAAACATCTCTTCAATATGATAGTAACCGATCACTGCCAGTATCATATAAGCAATGTTAACAGCTAGAATGAGACCAATTCCTAGTCCTATCCTTTTAAGCATGCTAGGAATATATTTATGAAAACAAGGATAGATGAGAAACTGGTGAAGGAGAATGATGAAAACGTAGACAGTGTTAAATGATATGCTTCCAGCAAGAGTATATTGACAGCCATAAATCTCAGAATATATTCCTTCGGTATAATATCCATTTAATCCTGATGCTATACTACAGATGAGTAGCAATGGTATCAATCTCAGTACTGTTTTTACATCTTCTACCTCTTCCTCTGTGAATGGTCCACCATATTTATCTTTACCCAGGTCCAATCGTGAAGGAGCCTCTTCCTCCCAGTAGGTCAGAGCACTACGATTCTCAGGATACTTGTGCTTCCTGGCATAACACAATGTTCTAGCTATCAGTTTGATGGGATTAGTTGTATTTACTGGAGTTGTGTCAAGATAGTGATTAAAAAGATTATGAGTGACAAGTATCATTGCAACTAGAACAGCACAAAGGATAAAGTAAAGATATAGCGTCAAAGAATTATATGTTGATGAAAGCACTTGTATGAGAGCATTAGAAACCACAGGCCCAATGTTGTGCCAGTGTATGACAGCAGTTAGTTCATCACTTGATGATCCAATGAGTTGATCAATATTGAATGGCAAGAGGTTAACACGAACACAACCAAGAGTAACCAGTAATAATGGGTACAAGATCTTAAAAGTTAAACATAGACAGGTACTACAAGATAGAAATACCATTGTCATTAGTATTGCTATAAGCAAAACAAATGACACACAGGTTCCAATAAGCACAATGTTATATCTTTTGAAGAGAAAATCACCAAAATATCCTGCTAGAACAAGTAGTAAGCTCATCCCAACAATTACAACAATACCAAATTGATCCTCAAATGTTAAAAAACTTATCAATAAGTTGAAACTAATCCCAATCAAGAGATCCCACAATAGAACAAGTATTGCTCCTTTGGAGTGTATGAACTGGAAACGATAGAATTTTTTTCTATGACTAGTCACTGACGAGCTCAATAAGGGAGCACTTACAGCCATACTGATTAATTTTAAGTTGCAAAACAGTTAGACTGCTTGCAGCATCTTAAATACCACATATACTGAATCTGTATGCAAAACAGCATGCAATTTGCATATAGTAATCAATGTTTCATAATTTACAAATCATTACTGAAAAGAGACACACAGACAGGATTATTGCTTTGCCTTTGTGTCACACCAGTCTCATGCACAATGTCTCTTTTTAATTATAGCATGTTAAAACAAGTTATCGTTAGTAACAAAAGTGAAACAATGCCTACATACATGTACATGTACATGTATAAAAAACAATTAATCCTATAAGATCATTTTATAAAAAGAGTGCTTAATCACAGTTTATTCTTTTCGCATGCAGTGGTAATGCCTGTGATAAGAGAATAATTGTTTCGAAAGTTGATGATCAATACATACATGTACATGTACACAGAATTATAAATATGAGAAACATCAATAGACTTTGAGAATGAAACAAAAAAAGAATGTAAAACATTAAGGGGCTCTGCCCCCCAGCCACACCTCCTGTTATACCCCCCAAATACAGAAATACTTTACATCAAAGGGCTTTATCCAATAATAACTGAAAATTAGTTGGAAGACTTACATCTACATCTACATATACACACACATGTACATGTACATGTCACAGTATAAATGCATATCAGGACAACACGACATGTATTACGTATTCTAAAATTGAAACTTATGAAATTGCACTAAAATGTGGCATTAGTAGCACTCGAAAAACTAAAAGGTTAATATTTTCTATTAATAACAAAAAAATTTATAGAGATTTTAGATAAATTTTAGATAAAGATTGAACTACCTGTAACATTTTATCAGGTGATGGCTCAATGCCAGCTACCATGTGGGCTGGGGAGAATGCCAACTGCTCAACTTCAGCAAAATAATTAGCAGGATTACGATTAAGAACCATCCTACCAACTGGAATCAATGGGAACTCCTTCTGTGGCCAAATCTATAAAGAAGTATGCACACAGTAAGTACTATTTCCATTGAATGGATTTACTGACAATGAGAAACATTAACAAATGATAGCAGTTTCGACATGAAAACTTAAAAAATACAAGTTGGATCGGCTAAAAACTTTCTAGACAGCATAAGGACATTAATATGTATCAAAAAATGTAATAAAAATTGGGGGTGATTTTGGAGCCATTTTTCAGAAAAAACCATGGGCTATAGCCTTGGGTATAGCTCAGAATTTTTGCATTTTCTAAAAATGGCTGTAACTCAAAAAATTTAATTCGGAATCGACTCAAACTTTCTAAATAGCATAAGGACATTAATATGTATCAGAAAATGTAATAAAAATTGGGGGTGATTTCAGAGCCATTTTTTAGAAAAAACCATGGGCATTTTTCAGAATTTTGGCACTTTCTAAAAATGGCTGTAACTCAAAAATTTTAATTCGGAATCGACTCAAACTTTCTACATAGCATAAGGACATCAATATGTATCAGAAAATGTAATAAAAATTGGGGATGATTTTGGAGCCATTAAAAAAAAAACCAAGGGCTATAGCCTTGGGTATTGTTCAGAATTTTGGCATTTTCTAAAAATGGCCGTAACTCAAAAATTAATTCAGAATTGTCTCAAACTTTCTACAAAGCATAAGGACATTAATATGTATCAAAAATGTAATAAAAATTAGGGGTGATTTTTGAGCCATTTTTCAAAAAAAACCATGGGCTATAGTTTTGGGTATTTTTATGAATTTTGGCATCTTCTAAAAATGGCCGTAACTCAAAAAATTTAATTTGGAATTGGCTCAAACTTTCTACATACATGTAGCATAAGTACATTAATATGTATTAGAAAATGTAATAAAACTTGGGGGTGATTTTGGAGCCATTTTTTAGAAAAAAACATGGGCTATAGCCTTGGGTATTTTTCAGAATTTTGGCATTTTCTAAAAATGGCTGTAACTCAAAAAATTGAAGTCGGAAGGGGCTCAAACTTTCTACATAGCATAAGGACATCAATATGTATCAGAAAATGTAATAAAAATTGGGGGTGCTTTCAAAGCCAATTTTTGGAAAAAACTATGGGCTTTTTCCCATGCTGTTGTCATATAATCTGTACTATTTATTATTACAATATATATGTATGATTATTTTTTGCCAATAAGTCTCCTATACATTACAATAGATTGCTTGACTATTAGAAAGTAAACTCACTTTAGTTAGATCAAACGGATTCCATTCAAACTCTTTTGCTTGCTCAAATGTCATTACTTGAATATAGAGTGTCCATGAAGGCTATGGGTACAAAAAAATATCAACAAAATTATTACAGTACATGTGTATACCTAGAAATTTTTGCCATGACTTAAATTTTAATAAATTAAAAATTTGCAAAAAATTAGTATAAATTCATGCCACATTCATTAATACATGATACAGTCTTATTACATGTACATGTACATAAAAATTAAATCATGAACAATTTCTAAAGCATAAATTTTTTCTAAAGCCACATACAAGTACACTGTATATTAGATTACAATTTCAAGTACTGTGAAAGTGGCTGGTGTAGATTTTGTAATTTACATAATAAAAATACTTACATAGTTCTTAGCAGCAATAGCATCATAAAGGTCCTTGATAGCATAGTCTGGATCAGAGCCAGCAAGAATGCCAGCCTTCTCAACACTAAGATTAGCTATACCTTGATCAGTCTATGAAAAATAATAGGAATACATTGAAGTGTTTATTTTACTAAACAGTCAAATATAACTTAATTACCAGCAAATCAAAGTTAAAGAGGCTTGAATTTCACAAATTCAGCAATTTTTAAGACCCTCCCAATTTATTAAATAATCATTGTGTACATACACATGTACATGTATACATATTTGTGTATGACAAAAAAGGCTAATATTGTAATAGTATCAATACTTTGTAATGGAACTTGCAGTAAACAGGCTCTCCTTCATTGTTGACTAGTTTGAAAGTGTGTGATCCGTATCCATTCATGTGACGGTATCCATCAGGTATGCCACGATCAGAGAAGAGGAATGACACCTGGTGGGTGGTCTCAGGCCTCAGACTAATAAAGTCCCAGAACATATCAGGATCCTATAAAAACAAATGAGAATGTAAAGTTAATATAATAAACATAATTATTATTATTTTTTAAAATAATGTAGCTACAAACAGCTAAATTAAAATACATGTACACAATTTTAAAAAAATTATATTCTGACCTTAAGGTGTGTAGATGGATTTCTCTTTTGAGTATGTATAAAGCTAGGAAACTAAACAAATAAAAAGAATAATAATAAATAATAACAACAACAACAAGAACAACAATCATAACATACATAACATATATTAGGCAAGGTTTGTACGGGGGGAAACATAATTGAGAAATACAATGTGTAACAATGCCTCATGTACATGTACATACTTTTGTGTATAATGTACATACACGGTACATGTACATGTACATGTACTACTGACATATGCATGTATACATGTACATGCTTATCTTCAGACTCACTAGTATAGGGTCCCTTATAAAGAATATTGGTGTATTATTACCAACAAGATCCCAATTACCATCCTCAGTATAAAACTTGACAGCAAATCCTCTTGGATCCCTCACTGTATCAGCACTACCTGACTCACCACCTTCATTATAATATTGATAAAATAAAGCTATAAGGACATGTACATTTATACATTGTATTGTACACATTTTGTTGGCAAGAGTAATACCTGGTAAACTACATGTACATGTCTACTATAGTCCATCAAAACTGATTGGCAGATTTTATATTGGCAATTTTGACATTGAGCATGTTTCAACTTAATCAAAAATGGCAAATTTATGGAGCTGCCAAACACTAATAATAATTCCTCAGAAATTAATATCTTGTACAGGATGACAGAGCAAAAAATAAAGCATTCTAAAATCTGTGTATGATTGTACATGTATCAAGTTAGTAGATTTAAATTTTCAACAAAATATCAAAGAGTCATGCTTACCCACAGTTGAGAAACGAACAGCAATTGGAGTTCTCTTGCCAATTTTATTGAAGACTTTAGCTTTACAGTAATTGGTGATGTCATGAGTCACTTCAAAATAACCAAATGCACCTAAACAGAGAAGAAGTACAATACTGAAGGGAATACCATACAAAAGGAAAATTAATTTTGGAGGGAATAAAATTTGGCAAATTGCTAAATTTTGGTGATCAGCAAATTTTAATTGGCAAATTTGTGTGAGCATGCGCATAATGGCTCAAAATGGTGCATTTTTATTTCGGCAAATGTCTATCAAAACAGCAAATTCGCCAAAATTAATATTTCCCACTATACGGTATAGCCAAAACAAAATGGAGGAACAAAAGTGATCAAGAAAAGAGAGTATAAAAATGAAAGTAAGTCAAAAGAATATGTGGTATAAATGTACCTAAAATTGTCCTGATGTACGTGTTACGGTACTTACCAGCTCCCTTTGCATGGACTACCCTCTCTGGGATTCTCTCTCTATCAAAGTGAGCCATCTCATCCAAAAACACATAGTCCTGCAACAGTACTGGCCCTTTAGCACCTGCTGTCAGTATTGCTGTCTTGCAGTCTACAGGATGACCATGACTAGTTGTTAAAATGTCCGGACTCTATAAAATTAGACAATAATTTGCTTTGTTTAAAACACCCAATGAATCACTTTTTAAAACTAAAATACATGTAGAGGAGCAGGTGTGGGCACCTCATTACAGCTCCAAACTTCAAAAGATTGGCAATGTAAAACGATCAAGATGCATGCCAGCATAAACCTAAAATCATTTTCTGACAATTTTTTTCACTTGCATTTAACCTCTCATTTGCCTTCTTACATGTTCCAAGATGCAAGTGATAACTTATGATACCTGGTAGTAATTTTGGAGCAATGGAATTTTTGCAAATTTGGCGTTTTGATTGCCATTCACTTAAAATTACGCCCACCATTTTAAACCTTGCTCAATGTTCACAAATTTGCCAAACTAAAACCTCCAATCATCAAAATTTTGGAAATTTGCCAAAATTATCCCTCCAAAATTACCAGCTTTATTATACCTTCTTGCAATCGTTTTACATCACACTAACACTTAAACCCAAAGGTAAGCTATTTACAAGTTTATCTCTTCATGCAATTTCCTACTTCTTACCTTCTTGTAGGCTGCAAAGTTGACTAACTGGCTAGTAGATCCTTTTGATGCTGCCATTACTAAGCCACACCTTTGTATTAAAATAGGGTGCGGTAGTCACGCCTAGCCAGCCCCTCCCTCCGTGACACTACTGAGGCTGCTGAGCAGTTTACTTTAGCACTGCAGCAGTGCAGTGCAGCAGCAGGTCAAGCCAGGTGGTAGTCAGACTAGCCAGGTGGCAGGTACAACAAAATATTGTTTTCAGCATGACTTACAGTAATACTGGCAATCCTCTGGATTTGGCTGAAGTTAATAGCAACCTCTCAATCAAGAAGTGTTGGGACAAAGAGGAGGAGTATGTGAATGACTGGAAGCTAAGAGCGAGGAATGATGGTATGGAATTTTTGAATCGACTATTACAAGAGCTCTTAAAAATAAAGAGGATTGACTTAGTTGGAGAAATATTGAGCGATCCCGTGATTAAAAGGTTGATACAACCAATAAAACACACCTCTACCACTCTCCTGCAATCAAAAGTAACTGAAGAAAGGAACAAGAAAGAACAAGGCTTGCTTTTACATAATAGGGAGGCACAAAAATGTAGAAAGTCAATATGTCGTACTGTTACTGTCGTACTGCTATCAATACTCTTGGTCGCTTTGATTTGCTTCATTATTGTGCAAATAATTGCTTTGATTGAAGTTTCAGACATTGCTGTCAACAAGGAAAAAGAAGTTGACAAAACAGTCGCTGAAGGTGATTCTGTGTCCTTATACACGTTAGATAAGAAATACGTAAACACAATTGAAATATCTGAAGAAGTCAAAAAAGGTGATAGCAAACATAGTGTTACGTTGGTTTTGGTCCCAACAGATGAACTACAATATGATGTAATCTATGAATCAGAGTCTTGGAATGCAACAGCCTATGTTGCTGATCTCCCAATTATTAATAATATCTACGTATATCTCAATACTGGGTCTAAGTTAAACTTTGACATTTGGATTGGTAATGGCAACAATAAAAAATCAGCTACACTATACGTATTTGATGATATTGACAACTTGAACAAATATATAAGGTACAGTGAAGTGAAGTCACCTGTATTTACAAAGGAAATACCAATCGAAGGAAAAGACGGAAAGCAAATACCACATAATGTAATCTTTACTTCTCCAGCAGATGGCTATTACTTCATCATCCTACTAGCACCAGAAGCAAATATCCAGTTTTTGTACAATGTTAACACTACAGAACTGGTTACTGACATTGATCAATACACTTCTGACTACCCGTCCTGTGTAATTGATGCAGAAAGGAATTGTACGCTAAAAACTAGTAATACCAAGCATCCCACTAGCCAAAATCTCACCTTATTAGCTGCTGCATCAACCAAATATGACATCAGTAGCAAGATCACTCACATTCACTTGAACTTTACTAATTGTTCTTATTTGATGACCGTACCCATTATCATCTTTGGGATTACACTTGGTATTGCATTATTAGTTATCCTCAGTTTGTTAGTTATTGCAAGGTATGTTGCTTGCAAGAAGAAAAGGAATCGTAGAGGATATGTCTCTATAAATTAATGTGAATTTATTGCTCCCTTAGTTTTCTTTTGTTTTTTTGAATGAGCTTTGTGATAGTTTTATCAAAACAATAATGTTTATTGTTTCAAAACAACGTTGTTTGTTTCAATGCAGATCATGTGAGAGCTGAAAATAATTGCTATGTAATCTAAGCTTTTGGCAATACATATACTAGTCCAGTATCAAAAGCTGATAGACTATATGGGGAATTTACCTATGTTATACCAAGAGTACATACACTGTACTGTTAGTTGATACATGAGTGGAGGCTGAGACTACTACTATTACAATCTGCTATTATTGTATCATACAGGTCATTAACTGAGTAGACTATTCTCTAGCATAGTTGTCTATTCCCTAGCAAAAATGCCTCATATGTTGCCAATTTTTATGCCAGGGAATAGACAACTATGGACGCAATTTTTATGCTAAGGATTTTTTCCTAGTAACAGCTAGTTTAGGACTGGCATTATTTTATAAGGAGGAACAAATTACAACTGAAGATAAGCCTTTTGATAAAATCCACTTAAATAAAATTAATTATTGCTACATAAAATTACATAAAATTTCCACACACAAACAACATAAAAAATATTTACAATAAATAAACATCATAAAATAAATATACCAACAGCAGCCACTAAATCCATACAACAACCACAACTATGATAAACACTAAACACATACAAGTTCAACAATAGTGACATTAATAAAAAATTAATAATAATGAATGGCTATGGTTCCATTTATAACATCGCCATGCATGTGTATCTGATGATGGTGAAGCTAAGGGGCATAAGTGATGATGCACTGCAAGATTTATTCTATCATTGTTCCTTATCTCCATCTAACTGACAGCCTGACGAGCTTGGTAGGGTATCTAAATATGTTCTGTTATAGCCCTATTATATACTCTTGGTTATAGGTACATGTAGATCAGAAAATCTAATAAAAATTGTGGGTGATTTTGGAGCCATTTAAAAAAACCATGAGCTATAGCCTTGGGTATTTTTCAAAAATTTGGCATTTTCTTTAAATGGTTGTAACTTAAGAAATTTGAAGTCAGAATTGGTTTAAACTTGCTACATAGCATAAGGATATTAATATGCGTCAGAAAAAGTAATAAAGTTTATATACAATTAAAACTAGTAAATTATTATCAATAAAGATTTAGTCTATATTTCTTTGTGACGGCTGATATTAATGCTTAAGTTTGTCCCCCCAATTTCAAACAACTCATTTATTGTGTCAGCAGCAGTTGCTTCATTGAAAATATAAACATACAAGCTGATGAAGGGAAATGCTTTTTTAAGCACTTGGGCACTTCTTTCTCTCAACTCAATGGTGTCAATTCTTTGCATTGATATCTAATAATGAGTAGCAGTTATAAAACACTATATAGTCTACAAGTATAACTAACTGTGTCTGGCATTTCTTCACTATCATTTGGTGATACAATCCATCCTGAGAATTCCTTAGTATCTTTAAAGCAAGTTAGATCAAGAGAGAGCATGGAAGAATTAAAGACAAATGGAAGGTATGATGAGCCTTGAAGACCATATCTACATGCATACTGAATTCGCTAAATAGAAAATACAGCTATTTTCAAATTCTATTCAGCTATAAAATACCTTTAAGTTAGCATATAAAAGCTTTGTAAAAACAATATTCAGAGTCCAAAAGTTCTTGTACTTTCTTTCATAAAAACATTGAGCAACATATCTCACTAAAGTTTCGTCTTGCCTGAAAAAATTAATAATAAATTAAAACTGTGATAGTAATGCTACTTACATTTCTCTTCTGTACAATATGCATAAGAAACAACTGGTTTTTTGTTGAATTGATCCATTAAACTCTTGATCCACTTTTTCAAAGATTATCTTTTTTTTCTTCAAGTCAATGCTGCCAATGGCAAAACACAAATCTGATCTAGTCTGATCAGATTCATCAACACAATGCTCCAGCTTAATGGTTGCTGGTTGAGACAGCTTTGGCTGCATTGTGATATCATATACAGCACTTACAAGAGTATACCCATCAGGATAGACAAATGGACCAGAGAAGAGAGTACAAACTTTGATTGCAAACTTTTTATTTCTTTTTACTGGCACCTGAATTTCATAACCATACTCAACATCTTTAAGAATATTTGTCTCTAGTTGAACTTCATGCTCAACTTCATTGATTGCATGACATGTGCCTAAAAATAGAACTTCATAAAGCTTTAGGTAAAAACTATCTATACATGTGATATAAACTGGTAATTATTTAAACAAACAACTCTCAACACTTGACAAGTGATAATTACATAAGATAAACTAAGAGAGCAAAGAGGAGCGAGAGAGAGAGAGAACCAGAACAAAGGAAGGTGAACAGAACAATAGAGCAATAAACTATATACAGTATAATACATGTGGTCAGTCTAGAATGTTCTGTGCATGTTACATAACTAGAGATAATTAAGTAAACCACAATAGATTTAATAAGATGTATGCATAGCAATAATAATAAGCACTAAATTGTACATCTCCCACAACATGTATATTATATATGTAATAATTATTTGTACCTTTAAATAATGCTTCCACTAAACTATGTATAATCTGCTCTGGTTTATTAATAATTTTAGCTCTCTCTAAGGATTCATTTCTTGTTTCGTCAATGTGATAGTTGCGATACGCAATGCTAAAAAGATCAATTGGTATTGTCGAGGCTCCAGTCATTCCAGCAACAGGACCAGTAGTAGATCTATGTGCTGCAAGTGCAACTGTTTCTACTGTATTCTCAGCTTCAGGTACAGTATCTGCAGTTGCACCTCTGATAGTTGCTGCACCAATAGCTGAAGATTCTGGTTCATGAGGTGCAAGTTGTGTCAACATTTGATAATATTTTTTGGCATCTTCATTAATTATCAAACTAATCTGCTGATCTAGGTTGATAATTGCTAGTGCTTTCTTTAACCGTTTCTTATTAAGAACTAATGAAGCAATTGCAACACCAGTAGTACCTAACCCGACAACAAGACCTACTGCAGATATTGCAAGAGTTCCACCAAAAGTGATAGGAGCCAGAAGTAATCCTGTTGCAACTAGGCTACGACTTATTACTGGGCCTGCAATTTGAACTGCCCTTTCTTTACGGACTATTGAAATGACTTCTTCCTTGTTTTCTTCCAAATTGTCTATAGTCTTGCAACGGATGGGATACCATATTGAATGGTATACTTCCAATTTTTGCTCAAGAGTTTCAATCCTAAGAACAAAATATAAATTTATCAAATAAAATATGCTACTACTTACATGTCATTAGTTGATTTGACAATACATAAGTAATTCCCAACAGTGTCATGCCATATGCTTTTCACAGTAGTGCTATTATTATTAGCACATATTGTTTCAAAGCATTCTTGGACACTGGTGTGGCTCAGCTTTTCTGTGAATTCTTTCACTACAGGAGATGATGCTGTATTGTGTGCAGAAGCAAGGACTAGAGAATTTTTGGGGCAAATGTGCAGAGGCAAATGGAAACCAATTTCGGAGTCATTCTTTTTCTTTTTATCATCACTTAATGAATCAAAAAAGAATATAGCTGGTATTGGGGATCTTTCAAAATGGCAAAACAAAGCTGAATAAGGCACAGCCACATCATCAGCATCATATAGCTCAGCAGTCTTCCCTTTACTGAGAAACACTAGAGCTATCATCGATAATTGAGAATGATCTACTTTACTGAATTCTTCAAGCAAAGTAGCTATCGATTCTGAGGAGAAGCTGTTGAAGTAAAGAACAGCAAACTCAAGATCTTCAAAAGCTTTTTTAAGAGCTGCTGCTTCTTCATTTAATATCCTTTCTTCATTCTCCACCTTGACCTCTCCCCGATTATCAATGATAACAGCTAAAGCAATCTCTATAAGAATTACAAAAAATGCTACTCTGGATGTAATTGATATTGTTCTTACTTTTATTTAGTTTTAGTTTTGATAATCTGTGCTTGTGCTTTATTGTATTGCAGCAAAAAGCAGTAAGGTCAAGCTGCCAGTTGACACAAGGAGGAATATCATCATATCTAGGGTTGTAGTCATAGTATCCAGCTGGAAAAACGTCAAATGTTGTCTTTTCGGGTGCATTTTGACTATGCTCTGATTTGTGTTGTGATTGTAGAAGCTCAGTGACAAATGCATTTATTTTTTCCTTACGATTTTGAACTCTACCAGTCAGTCGTTCTTTCTTCAGCTGTTCCCAAGCATCTGTTTCATCCTTTCGAGGCTCCTTACTTTTGTCATCTTTATCTCCTTTGTTCCATATTTCTAGCGGTTCCCTATTTGCAAAGGTTAAGACAAACACCACTCTCTCCCAAAATTTTTGACCAAACGCTTGATGGAACTTCTGCATAGCAACTTTGTCATCATTGGTGAATCGATAGTCTGTCATCTTCATGCAGTAGAGGACCAAACTGATCTCATTACACTCCTTCTTCATTTCTTGAATGTGTTTATGTTCCTTTTTTTGAATATCTTGTAAACCAGGAGAATCAATTATTGTGACATTGACACCAGGAATGATGTTTGGGTACGTATAAGACTGTGATGTTTGTGTACAGCAGTCAGTACCTGAGCTCTCGGGCACGATTTCTTCTCCTAGCTCAATGAGGCTGTTGACTAGTGCAGACTTCCCTTGTCCTGTTCTTCCAATGACTAGTATGTTCACATCTGTTGAAATATTTTCTTCTTGGATGAGCTCCTTGAAGGTTTTCATTGCATTAGTATCTATTATAGGAAAGCAAGTACTTAGTTAATGCATTGCATAATAAAGTATTAGTACCTATTTTTGGTGATGTATCTGACAGATTGAAATTAGTTATATCTATACACAAAAACAAATAGAAAAGTAACAAAAATCATTAAATCATTAATCATTAGATGTAAAAAAGTAAGAAACAAGAGGCTATATATTTATTAAGTGGTGTGGTATGAAATTTTTCATGATCGCATGAATTTATTTGAAAGCAGTCTGTGTGATGCATGTAGAATACTTCATTTTTTGTGCAACATTTCTTGCTACACCAGTTTGAAGCGCTTCCTTGTTTCCTTAATACATTTTAATCTAGTGTTATAGCCTCACAAGCCAGACCCTCCCCCTTTTATTGACATTTGAACTTGCAAGACTACACCTATAAGACCCCTTTTTTAGTATGCTGTCCCATTTTAAAGCTGATTGCAGGTGCTGAATGAATGGATAACAACCGCACACAATATGATGTGCATTTCTAATGAGACAACTGATGGCTTGAAGAGGTCTACACTTTACCTCTTTTTCATTGCATTTTGCACCCAATTTTCTCACTAACATGCACTTGAATCATTTTTGCTATTAACAACAAACATTCTACATGTTTTTCTGAATGTTATGTAAATTTAATCTAGGCTAGCAACTCCTAAGTGGCTCTGCTTTCTGATAGAACACATTCTGGTGAAACTGACGAAACTGTTAAGTCTAAATACATTTACTTCCACTTTTAAATCCAAGCACAAACAGTCAAATCTTACCATAAATATAGTGATAATGAAATAACCTGATACTATCGATGCTAAATCTAGCAACCTCAATCTTAAAACTTGGTATATCTAGATCTAGTTTGTGCAACAAGTTTTTTTTACAGAATCTGGACCAATTCTCTTAGTTTCTGTACTTTGGAGGTTCTGAATAGGTTCTTCCACTTGAGTTCAAAGCCTCAAAGCATAACTTATATGCCTAATGAATGCAGCATGCATGCTATGATGTCACTACATGACACTATAGTGTTTGACGTTTTAAATTTTGGTGACACAAAAATAATTTACTTGAGGATTTACCAATTTTTAATTCTGCCATGTTGATCTCAGGTATAGATCTATCATCTGCTGGAGCACCACCTGCAAAGGGAAAATAGAGTTTCTAAGTTTTTAACAGAAATCAATGGAATATTGGTTATATTGTTATCTATACAAGTAATATTTTTACCGGTGCATGCAGTCTGTTATATTATCTACTACAGACCCTTAATATTTCATAGTAGACTCCTGGCAAAGGTCTACAGCATAGTAGACTCTTGGCAAGGTCTACAGCATAGTAGACTCCTGGCAAGGTCTACAGTATAGTAGACTCCTGGCAAGGTCAACAGCATAGAAGACTCCTGGCAAGGTCTACATGCAGCATAGTAGACCTTGTGAATCACACATACAAATTTATCTTCAAAAGATTTTCATTATGTTCAATTTTTCATAATTCATTCCGGGGATTTAATAAAAGTAGATGTAATAGTAATTCTAATATGTATATACAAGTTAAGTGATAAAGTTAATTGCTGGTATAGGCTAATTATTATTGGCCTTGTTATTCATTTGCTATTGAGTACTATAGTGCTACATGTACATGTATTTATAACATGAGATTTCAGTATAGATCTACTTTGTTTAGTCAAGTTTCATTTGTGTAAAAAAAGATTTCTGTTTGTCAAAAATTTTCTTATTTTATATTACCATTATGCATGCACATGCACTATAAAGTTGCAGTAATTTTGTTGATTCTAAATCTTACCATCATCTCCATGATCTCCTTGAGGATCATTTGCTGGAATTAATTTTTGTTCAGCCATTATTAAGCTCGTTATTAAAGTTGTAGTCTGGGTCTACTCTGGTATGGATACTGCTCTCAAATCTCGATACTGCTGCTGTACAAAGTAAACAAAGCCTAGAAGTACAAAGGAGCCTAAGGAGGTTGGTCATGTATTTATAAGTGATGTCACTTCCTTTCTATATTTTTACACAAGTTGAAAATTAAAAAATTACAAACAATCAAAACAGTACTATTGTCAGCAGTATAATTAGGATCACAGATTTGATGATACTTGTTTTTTTCTAAAAGAAATAGACTAAGTGATAAGCTTATTAGATCTAATAATTAAAATGCATATGAATACTTTTTTAAATTGCTGTAAAAGGTTAGATATCTTCTTACTACCATAGTCAGGATACACAGAGGAAAAATTTCTCTAACCTGAAAAGGAATGAACAAAGGTGCTTTGAGAATTATAAATGAAAGATATAACAGTAAAATAAAAGAATACCTAATTAGCTATCAGTCACTTTATTAGTAAGAAAAAATAACAGTTAAAGTTTCGCTAAAGTCCCTTTTTAGCAATTTTCATGAACGGCAGACAATCCAGCACTTCTATCAAATAACAATTCTTTGTAGCTACCATCATCACTATTAAGAGTATGCCTATTGACTTTGGCTTTGTAGAAACAAATCCTCAACAGCCAAAAAGCCACAGCAACCAGCGGAATATATATAAGTATGATTTGTGTTCAATTTCATACCCATTTCTGGACTCCAGGAAGAAAATACATACAGTGAATAAGTTTATTAGTGCCATATTAGTGAATGTAAGGATGGTGCAAATATTGTGCTTCTTCTCCTGAAATGGTTGGACAGTAGCTTGTATCACTATAATGAAAATCAGTGCTATGGCCAGATAAAAATAATACTGAAATTCAGTAGAAGCCATTACTTAAAATGCATGCTGTAACATAAAAACTGAAGTCAGAATTGGCTCAAACTTGCTACATAGCATAAGAACATTAATATGCATCAGAAAATGTAATAAAAATTTGGGGTGATTTTGGAGCCATTTTTCAGAAAAACCATGGGCTATAGCCTTGGGTATTTTTCAGAATTTTGGCATTTTCTAAAAATGGCCGCAACTCGAAAAATTTAATTCAGAATTGGCTCAAACTTTCTACATAGCATAAGGACATTAATATGTATCAGAAAATGTAATAAAAATTGGGGGTGATTTTGGAGCCATTTTTTAGAAAAAACCATGGGCTATTTTTCAGGATTTTGGCATTTTCTAAAAATGGCCGCAACTCAAAAAATTGAAGTCGGAATCAACTCAAACTTTCTACATAGCATAAGGACATTATTATGTATCAGAAAATGTAATAAAAATTGGGGGTAATTTTGAAGCCATTTTTCAGAAAAAATCATGGGCTATAGCCTTGGATATTTTTCAGAATTTTGGCATTTTCTTAAAATGGCTGTAACTCAAAAAATTGAAGTCAGAATTCGTTTAAACTCTCTACATAGCATAAGGACATCAATATGTATCAAAAAATGTAATAAAAATTGGGGGTAGTTTCGAAGCCCATTTTTGGAAAAAACTATGGGCTTTTTTCCCCATGCTGTTGTCATGTAATCTGTACTATTTATTATTACAATATGCATGATTATTTTTTGCCAATAAGTCTTCTATACATTACAATACCATATAGCTTGAAATTTCCGTGGAATGTAAATTTTGTGATTTTCGTGGTTATGGGCTGCCCACAAAATTTAAACCCATGAAATCATTGAAGTGCCATCCCTTACAGGCTATGTAAACTGTCAACCACGAAAATTAAACCACGAATTGCCCCACTAGGAGCAAACCACGAAAATATCGACCCACGAAAATATCAAGCTATACGGTAGATTGCTTGGCTATTAGGAAGTAAACTCACTTTAGTTAGATCAAACAGATTCCATTCAAACTCTTCTGCTTGTTCAAATGTCATTACTTGAAAATAGAGTGTCCACGAAGGCTTTGGGTACAAAACAATCATCAACAAGAGATGGAATTATTACAGTACATCAGTAAATTTTGCCATGACTTAAATTTCAATAAATTAAAAATTTGCAAAAAATTAGCATAAATTCATGCCACATTCAATAATATATGATACAGTCTTATTACATGTACATGTACATAAAAATTAAATCACAAACAATTTCTAAAGTATAAATTTTTTTCTAAAGCTACATACACTGTACATTAGATTATCATTTCAAATACTGTAAAAGTCGCAGATAGATTTTGTAATTCAAATAATAAAATACTTACATAGTTCTTAGCAGCAATAGCATCATAAAGGTCCTTGATAGCATAGTCTGGATCAGAGCCAGCAAGAATGCCAGCCTTCTCAACACTAAGATTAGCTATACCTTGATCAGTCTATGAAAAATAATAGGAATACATTGAAATGTACATTTCCTAATAGTCAATAATGACTTAATTACTAGCAAATTAAAGTTGTAGGAGTTTGAATTTCACGGAATTTCCCTACTTTGCAATTTTTAAGACCCTCCCAAATTACAATCACAATATTAGCCTTTTATATCAAACACAAATATGTATACATGTACATGTATGTACACGATGATTAGTATTACACTAACTGTCATGTACATACATGTACATGTACATGTATACATATTTGTGTATGACAGAAAGGTTAATATTGAATACTTTGTAATGGAACAGGCTCTCCGTCATTATTGACCAGTTTGAAAGTGTGTGATCCGTATCCGTTCATGTGACGGTATCCATCAGGTATGCCTCAATCAGAGAAGAGGAATGACACCTGGTGAGTGGTCTCAGGCCTCAGACTAATAAAGTCCCAGAACATATTATGATCATAAAGAATGAAGAATTAATACTTTAAAGTAAATACAGCTAGAATAGCTAAATTAATAAGATACTGGATTCTAAGTACGATTATTAAGCTGACCTTAAAGGGTATAGATGGATTTCTCTTTTGAGTATGTATAAAGCTAGGAAACTAAACAAATACAAAGAATAACAATAATAACAACAACAACAACAATCACAACATACTAGGATTGTATGCACATGCACTGGGGTAAACAATATCAAGAAAAAGTATTAACATACACTGTACATGTATGTAACAATGCCTGATGTACATGTACAGTACATGCTTATCTCTAACTCACTAGTATAGGGTCCCTTATAAAGAATATTGGTGTATTATTACCAACAAGATCCCAATTACCATCCTCAGTATAAAATTTGACAGCAAATCCTCTTGGATCCCTCACTGTATCAGCACTACCTGACTCACCTCCTTCATGATAATATTAAAATAAAGCTACATGGACATATATATTTATACATTGTATTGTACACATTTTGTTGGCAAGAGTAATACCTGGTAAACTACATGTACATGTCTACTATAGTCAATCAAAACTGATTGGCAGACTTTATATTGGCAATTTTGACATTGAGGC